TACATTTACTTAAGTAAAATTCTGAATTAAGGACTTTAGTAACAAAGTACTTTTACACCGTGGTACTTCTACTTAAGGAAAAGATCTGAGTACTTCAACTAGTGCTTAGTAAAGTAGAGGGATTACTGTGATTTGATATGCAATAAACATTATATTCTTTTATCTTATTTATGTCATACAAAGTGGCTTTAGGGCACACAGAGAACAAGTCCACAAGGTTTATGTGAAAAACATTTGATACTTCCACTCGGTTAGATGTAAACATGACGCATGTGATAACTTGACAATAAGAAAGAGGTACATGTGATCAGCAGAGGTATGCAAGTGTGTGTGTACTATAGCTTCCCCTGTGACAGCTTGATCAGCTCTTGTGATGCAACCGAGAGAGCCGTCTTTCTCTTACTCGTTAAGACACACACACACACACACTCTGTCAATTTAGAGAGTGCCTTTGATCTCCACTCCAACCAATTCAGCCACGACACATACCCACATTCTTGGACAAGCACGCACACACACAGTCCAAAGCAACTCCCCAAACTATTTAGTTTCATTAGGTGCAGATTCTTCAAAAAGAAAAAAGGAAGCAAGAGAAAAGAAAGAGGGGGGCTGAAGGAGAAAGAAGAGAAGACAAAGAAGAGAGAGCTGGGAGAAGAAAGGCACGGCAGCCACATTAAAATTAGACCTGGTGAAAAACTATTACTGCTGGGAAAAAACTGAAAATGACTGAGGATAGGAGGAAAAGGTGTAAGGCCAAAGTGCAGATGAAAAAAATAGGGTATAAGGCCATATTTGGATTTTGCTGCACAACCAGGCCTTTACTGGGTGAATTTTCAATGGTCGAAGCCACAGAAGAAAACTGTGGATTGAAGGTTTTGTTTTTTTTGTTGCTGTGTTTTGTCTTTTTAATCCTACAAACTTTAATATTTACAATATTTGTATGGTAGTGTGAGATGCACTTCACTGCTGCAAACTGAGTTAATAATGTGAGGTTTTCTATGAAAACAAGCCATTGTTAGCAAATACACCCAACTCTCCATAGTGACGCGTACTCCTCTTTCTGGTCATTAGTTGGCTGCCTAAATGCAGTCAGTGGCCGTAGCACCTTCCAGAAGTTTGCCTTTCCACTAGTCTAGTGTTTGGCAATAAGGAGCCACGACCAGGTAACAAGTAGTCTGCTAATAAGTGCCTCTGACAAACATTTTTTTAAAATAATTGTTTGGATGAACAACTGTAGTAACTTTTGGGAACGCCAAGGTTCAGGGGGGCTTTGTTTTGGAGACTAGTGACAGAAAGAGTTGAAGCTCAGAGGGGAAAATGAGGACATGAATGCAGTCAAGTCAGGATCAGAGGACACAGAGCAGATGGGAACAGACGACAACACCCGCAGGTCAAATCAGCAGAGACCCAGGAGTCACCTCACTGCTGAAAGAAGGAGAGGGAGCGACAGAGGAGAAAGGGGGAGGAGGAGGGGGGGGACCGGGGTGTTGGTCGGCAAAAATCAAACAGGACCCAATTATAGGAATCACAACGAGTCAGTGAGCAGGGGAACTCTTTTACCTGAAAAACACCAAGGCGCCTGCATGCGCTCTCAAACGCATCCGGCAAGCACACACACACACACACACGCTCACACACAAAATGTTAATAAAAGTGCACAGGTGCTATACTCGCAGATTGCACACATATTTTGCTTTACAGTTTTTGTAAAGAAACACACAGATGTACAGAGAAGCATGTGATTGTATGTCCACGTGCACACAAATACACGGACCTACGCACACACTTCGCCCAAAACTAGTGTGGAGCCCGATAATTAGCCTGGCCAGGCCGGTGTGAAATTACTGTTCTCATCTGCTAACGGATGAGAAGACCTGAAGCAAACAGACACAGACACACATACTTCTTCATTAAAATAATACCACTGGGAGAGGCATCCACAATATGGATAAAATGAGAGAATCAAGTCCTTATTTTTAGGAAAGTTCATTTGACCCATTTGGTGACTGTGTGGGTATGAGGCAGCAACATTAAAACACTGCAAGACATCTACACTGTGACTGGTTATATGTAGTGAAGGCCACCAATGAGGAGGAGGAGGAGGGTGGTGGGCTCAAAACAATTAGTAGTGCTGCTTGTCTATCAAAGACCACAGAGAGTAGGACAGACAGCAAGAGAAGATGAACAGGAACAGGATGAGATGTGGCAGAGAAAGTGAGAAATACAAAGGACAGAAAGAAAAATATGGAGAAAAACTGGGATTAATGATCAGAAAAAATAGGAGGACACAGAAAGGAACAGAGCAGGAGAGAGAAAGTGACTGCAAAGACAGGGGGAGAGAGAGAGGGAGAGAGAACTGAACCTGTGACCTTAGATCAAAGAACCAGTCACTGTGGGCTACAATTAGGGATGGCAGGAGGGAGAGCATAGGTCAAGAGAACAGGCCTACACACACACACACACCCACACCAAACAAGTGTCCAACGTACTGTTCTGCCTCCAGCTACATTCATGTTGACTGCACATAAACATGCTCCTTTGCATTTAAATTTCATTTTCACTCGCTCTGTGCAGACCAATATTTTGTAAATGATTTTGATATGAGCTGTAATGACTGCAACCACAGAAAAAAAGCCACTTGAACTGAATTTGCAGGCTACAAGTAGCTGTGATTTCCATGTTAGCCCAATGTTCAGCCATTCAGCTTAATCTTGTATCTTGTATCTGTTCAAAATAAACAGTGTACTAGCTAGTGAGGTTAGATTCTTTTTATCTTTATGGCCAAATTTCACTGCCTGCCCAAAACATACATAGAGAGACAGAGACAGAGAGAGGGTGAGAGAGAGTGACTGAAGAGAGGGAGCTGTTTTAGCAAGAGCAAAGCAGTGAAACAAAGAAAACGATGAGCAGTGTGCTATGGCATCGTTGTCATTGATAGTACCCTTACCAGCAACTTGACCACCTAATTTCATACACATAGCTGGCTAGAACATTGCCGGCTAGTTGACTAGGTCCAACCAAGTAAAATTGTCAGTAAAAATATTTGCTGGCTTTGCAGCTCAGGGCTTTGTTCAGACATGGCATCTAGACGTGAAATAGAAGGCAGATTCCTGGGTAGGGGTGCCTGTCTGAAAATGGCTTCAGATTAAGTGATGTGCCATTTGTGCTGTGAATGCTACACCCCTAACACAGTCAAAGCAGGCCCTTTCTCTCCCTCTACCCAAATCATTACATTGCTCCCATATTAGCCACTTCCCTGGAAGAATGAAGCCTGCTTTAATTGAATTAAATTATACCTTATGCATGCTAAACCGCAAAGCACCTACTTAGATGGATGTAGAGTTAAATGGGAAAGGCTTGGGCCTCTCCAGCTGATAACATGGACACGCACACACATTCACACGCTAATCAAAACAAGACATCAAGTAATCTAATCTGAATCACTAACAATTATCAGCACATTGGCCTCAAGGCCAGTCGTATTTCTTTGATCAATGCTTCCTATTAAAAAAAGCGTAAACAATTCAATATCTCCTCCTCGCCCCTCCTCTTTTTCCTCCTTCCCTTATGCATTGAAGCAGCGTGTGAGAGAGTGTGTGGGAGGGGGTTATTAAGCAATTGTCCTTGGAAATGAGTGAGGAAATCAGGAGGCTAGGGAGGGAAAGACCAGAGCGGTGAGTCTGGCTACTTTAAGGAACTAATCTATGTGAAGTTGGCGATCTTGCTGCACAACAAGGGACAGAAGAGGACATTTTTTTGCCACTAAGGAAATATACTAGCACTGCAACTGCTTTGAAAAACTCTTAATTTGCTTTCTTCATCTGAAGACTTTTAACACCACCAGTCCTTGCAAGGTCCTCATTTATTTCCTCAGATTATGCCAAACTGGTTATTCCTGTGGCCTGCACACAAACATGAATACACACACATACAAACACTAACAACACACTTATTTACATAAGCATGTGCACGCAAACACGCACTTTAAAAACCACCTAATTCAAGGGCAAATTTCTCTTTAAGAATTCAGGCAGCAAATGCAGGGGCATGCGGCTGTTGCCTTTTAGATATTTCATTACCAAAAGGTATTTATTTCATTTTACCCTCAAATCCCTTGTCGCCACAATTCTCACAAGCCTGTATTTTTTTCCTTCTCTCCTTTCCTTCCTCTGAAACATTTGGAAATGTAGCTGAGGATTTGACCACAGTGCTTTCCCAGGGTAACTCCAGGTCCATCAGTGTGCAGCAGCACCCCCCCCCCCACACCCCCAAACACTCCCAGAATATTATGTTCAGTGGAGCGTACTTGGTTCAGAGCTGGCAATTTCACTTGCGTATTCTCTAGTCCAGTTTGCTTCAGCACAGCAATTCTCACCCCCTTTTACTATGAATGTACTTTTGCTGACAGCTGTTTGTGTACAACATTTACTCAGTTTAAGGGGGCAGCAAATTTGGTTGGGATGTCAAGGAAATTGTGCAGAGTCAAGACGACCAAAGAGAAAGAGTGAAAGTGAGAGAGAGTGTAAAATAATAATAGAGAGAAGATGGAGCGAGGAAGTCAGCCGCATTTTGGTTTTTCTCCTAACATATTCAGGTTGTGATGTTCAGCAGCCCAGAAGAGAGTCTCAGCAGAAATTAATAAGGAAAGTCTTCTCTTCTTCTCATAAAGGGTTTACCAAAGTGGACTGCCATAAGATGAGACATGGTTTTCCAGCATGTCGCCAAGTGTAGTGAGCAGCAAACAGAGAACTGAGGAAGTCACATGAGGGTGCTGAAAAGGCTGGTGAGGTGATGCTGTCCAACACTCCAGTGCATGGAGCAAAGAGGTAGGAGCAGATAACACACACACAGTACACACAGACCTGCCCCCTCCTCTGAAACTGGAGGATCCAGGTGGACCAAAACTGGGTCTCAGGTTCAGACTTTTAAGTTTTATATTTTAGCCAATAGAGTGAGGAAAGTGAACAGTTTCAGTTCCAAGCACACACACTTTGACTTACATCACAGACATTTGCGGCCCTGTTTGGTGCAGACACGCCTGAGTTGGGGACGTTCTTGTTGCCAGCTTTCATTGCAGCATCTCTGCGGGCCTGCTCCAGGAGAAGCCTGGCTCTCTCCTTCAGCTCCTCCTGACGAGAGAGCACCTTCTGTGTGCAGAAATAAGTGTGATCAGATAAAACAATGCTAATAACAATAACACTTCTGATGAAACTGTATTTTGTTCAGCAACCACATTCAGTAAGAACACAAGTTGGACATAAGAAATAAATCCTTGTAAATGTAATGTGAAAAAGCAGTTTAACTGTAGAAAGGATATTTTTTTCAATTTGCAGTCTTTTAATCTCTTCAAAGTTTTACTCACCTTCTCAGCTGGAGGACTTGATACAGGAGCAGGTGTTGGCTCCTTTCAAAGAGAAAACTCAACATCAACTACTGATGCTTAGTGGAACTCTAAAAATACCTCTCAAGGCTAAATGTAGGAACAGGGTACAGCATGTTCCCTGTGATATACCGGGCCTGGCATTGTGGGACAGCCTACAGACCAGCTCACCACCTGGGCCAGCGTGCGGATAGCATGACGGCTTTGACAAGAAAACTAAATGCTCATCTACCTTAGAATTATATTAGCAGAGTAACCCTGGATGTGTTATGAGAGGATGCAAACACAGCTCTTAGACAGAGGAATATTATAACCAAGCTGTTAGTAGCACTGAAACAAGTTTATCCTTTCAACAAGTCAAATCTGGTGAGGATGCATCCCACCAACTAGATAACAGCAGATCAAAATGGGGTGTCATAGTTGTCATAATCCCTCCGCTGCCCCGTGACCTTTTGACTTGTAAACAGGAAGCAGTAATCTGGGGTTAACCAAAGCAGACGGCAGTGTATGCAGTGTGTGTTTATGTGTGTGGCTGTCAGTGCACATGCATACAAGTGCGTGCCAGTACGTGTGAGAGACAAGATGAGGTGTGCTGTGTGCAAAGCGTCGCCACGCCTGAGCAGTCACGGCACCAACTGCCATCAACTGAAGGGATGAGAAATATAATGAAAAATATAATGAAATGTCAAAGCAAGGGGTTCTCCTGGGCGCCTTCTATAGTCGCCACATGTTAAGGGCCCGGCCTTGATGCGTCTGGGTCTGAGCAACAAGATAGGCAACGACAACATCTAATGCAGAACGGGAGAATTTTGGTACGGTCATCTCTGCAATGGCATCAACGAGTATCGGGATTTGAAGCTTAGAGAGTGCCAGGACGGAATGAATGCTCACCGCATCCACTGTCTTATGACTGATGTAGCAGTTGAACTTTCAATCAAAGCCTGGGTGCTAGGATAAAAGCCTCAACAATCCATTTAGGGACATGGCAGGTACCTGCAGGTAAACGCTGCCAGAATCTTAATACCTGACGTAAGTAGCACAGTGAGAATTTGTCTACATAATACAGACTGATCCTGATGTTATTTAAGGTACAGGGTTAATAATTAGATGTCATATCTTTAATTTTTAATGAATGACTTATGAACACAGAACACTTTTCTACTTTGATGGAGGGCAACGTCTCTATATTAGGAAAATGCATAAAAATATTTTTTTTTTAAATAACCATATTTTATCTAGCACTCTGGAAGAGGATTCTTAGAGATGTTTACCTGTTTGGGACGCGTGTCTGTGTGGTTGACTGGAGGGGAGCTGGTGTCTGAGGAGGGCTCAGACTCTGAGTGACGCAGACTGGCCCTCTTCTTCTTGATCAGGTCAGCGTCCCTGTTATAGGAGAAGCCTAGTTTCTGGTGGGGTGGGGAGGAGGCCCCTCTCCTGGTCAGTGACCCTGAATCTGTACTTCTCTCTCTTCTGTCCTCTTCTTTCTGCTGTCTTTCCTTCTCCATCTCTCTCTCCACTCTCTGTGGTAACTCACTAAGGTCCAAAGTGTTAGCTTTCAGAAGACTTCCCCTGTCCTCAGAGCCAGGCAGTGTCACATGGGTCAAGTCTGTTGCTGGGGTGTCTAATACTGTGCATGATGTTGGGAGAGGGGGTGAAGACTGCAAAGGCCCTGTTGTTGACAAACTGGCTGAAACTGTTCCCACTTCTGCCTTCCAGCCCGGCCTCACTGCCACCTCCTCAGTGACTTTAGTGCCATTAGATTCAGTGTCAACTCCAGCAGTAGACACGACAGGCTGAGAGTCTGCCTGGCGCTGCTGCACATCATTGAGTTCAGCGTAGAACTTGTCCTGGCCTATAGAGGCATTTGTATCGGTTTCAAAGTCGCCCACCTTGTATGTGCTGCGATTGCTGTTGGCCTCTATCTGCACCACATTGAGCTCCTGACCGGAGAAGTGGGCCCGGATCTGGTACAGGTAGGTCATCACTGTTAGCTTGTCAGGAATAGCCAGCAGCACCATGTCGGATGGTTCCAGAAGACGCGAGATGCCCAGGCTCGCAAAGCCATCATACGCCTGCCAAATAAGACACAAAAGTAAACCTTTAAATATAGAATCAATCATACAATGCCACAGAATCACCGCATGCTGCAAGTAGTGCCTACCGGCAAAATTACTGTTACTGAACAAAGAAAAGAATACGTCACATTACAACAAAAATTGAGGAGGATAGAGGGGTGACAATAGTGAGAATGGAGTCTAGTCTCTTTGCTTGATAGGTTGCATTTGGTGCATGGTGCATTGCATGCACAATCCATACGTGCTTGTGCGTGAGACACCTTTGGCACGACTGTTGACAGGTCATGTCAGGGATGGTTGTCCCCGATAAGAGACCCAGATACCCCAAGACAGAGCGCTTAATCCCAAAGTATGTGTCCTTATCGTTACCCTACATCAACCTGCTCACGCTCTCCGTCACGCGTGTAATTGGTCTGATTAGAGTCTGATGAGAAAATATAGGTTTGATTATCAAGCGACACACGAAACCCAATCCCCCATCAGCAGATAGACTGAGACACAGAGACAGAGAGAGAAGGGATGAAAACCATTATCACAGCCAATGACAGGTAAATAAATAGATTAACAGCACGCGCGCACACACACAGCCTCCATTCCTGCACACACACACCCAACCTCCCCATCCATCTCTCCCAGGTATCACAGCTTGTATCTGGCCTGCTTGATAGTGTTGATCTAATTCCAACCTGTTGCTTCGCTCATTTGTTTCACTGCCTCCGTAGATCTCCCCAGTCTATCAATCTCTCTCTTTCTTTCTCCCTCTCTGACATCCAAACCCCGCTCCATGTGTTTTTAACCTTTATTTACCCCAGAGATTAATTGCGAAGGATGCACACTATTTTTCAGCCATGTCCTGTGTCAGTCCTTTTCTTACTTTCCCTGCATATTTTCATTCTTGTATTTATCCAGATAATGGTCCCAGAGCAACTTCAACTTCATGGATAGGTTGAATGCTCTGCAGCATGTAGCCTTTTCAGTCCCAAACCCCACAATTCAATGCTTTGCCTGTGATAGAAGTGAAAATTACAGTTGAGCTGGGTTTGTAAGTTCTGCATTAAGGGGCAAAAATGGTAAGTAAACTAACCGCTGTAGCGGATGTGACACCTAAAAACATTACTGTATATCAGGGCTAAAACAAACACAGAGATACAACATGGGGACCACAAAAACAGTTTTTTAACACAATGCTGTCAATCGTGACAGCAAGCTAGTAAGGCTGGCTAAGCCAACGTTACCATACAGCTGTTGCTGGGGTCAGCGCGCTGTATATAGTAAGTGGGTAAACTTAATGCTGGTTCATAAACTCCGACACTGAATGTTTGCCCACTTAGTCCAGGGGAATATCAAGAAACACAGCGGCAGAGCTGATCAGTCCGCTCAGTGTGATTAGCGATCCAATCGATTTGTTTTGAATATTTATTGGTTTCAGCCAGTGTTGCTGAAGCAGCAAGACAGGTTCAGGAAGGGAGCGCTGCTGAAGAGAGAGATGTAGGAGGAGGGCAGTGGTCAACATGCTGCTGCTGTGGGAGAGCCAGTGTTAAAATATCTCATCTTGTTTTTGCGAACCCAATATTGTGTATTGTCTCGTCTCGTCTCATGAGCTAAATGTATCGTCACACCCCCACTGTTTAATGTAGTTAATCACATTTCAACCTGTTTCTATGACTGAGAAAACTGGAGACACAAGGATAAAAGGAGAAAAATTGAGAATAAGGAGGTGGTGCTTTTAGCTGAAAGATGTTTCTCAATTTACAATCAATTGTGATGTCTTTTGTTAGAAGGAGTCTTTTTCACTCTCACCTCTTTTGTTCCTGTTAAGGGTAACAATGGGTGGAACATCTATACTCACACAGGGAAGTGAGGTATATGCCAATGTGTGTGTTTGTGCTGGCAAAGACTGACGGCGGGAAAAAAGAAAAGAGAGAACAGAGAGGAGTTTGCCTTTACAGCAAGCCTGTTTAAGTTCTCCCCCACTTTGCCTCCAGAAAAAAGGAGTGTGAAAGAAAAAAGAAAGAAAAGAACATGGGGAATGAGAGGGCCTGATTGGGTTTCTAACACGTATTCAGGGGAGCAAAGTGTGCTTGCATTGTTCGCCTTTCGCCCAGGGTAGGCTGTGAAAGAGAGCGACAACTTTGCTGCTCAATAGGGACAGAATGAAAGAATGAAAGAGAGAAAAGAGTGAGAGTGGGAGAAAGAGAGAGCTGTATGAGGATGAAGGAGGGAGGGAGGCTCTCGAACTGGGTTTTGTTTCAGCTTGATGTTAGTCTTGACATGTGCTACAGTCTTTTTGACCTCAGTGTCATGCTTTATTCTTTCTATATCCTCTCTTATGGCTTGACAAGCACAGATCATGTCATACTGAGACACAGTTGACTATTGAGGGAAGACCTGTTGTTTTCAACTCTATGAAGTCATTTCAATATTCCAATAAAAATGCCTTTATACAAGGAAAGGCAGCTTTCTTTTGTTTCTCTTTCCCACAAAAATACAAAGATGAACATAACACCAAGTCTTGACAACATGAGCACCCCAGTGGAGGAGGGACTATATACACTTACAAAATACAAAGAATTACTGCCCCTCTAAAATAAAATACAGAGGGGAAAGGTACAGTGTTACTGTACATCTCTGGCTGACATTGCTATAAACAGCAATTTTTCAATGTGACATTTTATTAAATACAATATAAATGGTTGTCATACCGTTACACATTGATCCTGTAAACAAAGTCAGATTTTTTTTTACAGTTTTAAGAAAGAAAGTAGATCTCTGATCCAATAGGGAAATTCTTTTCTGTGGTAACTTACATCACGTGCGACTCCAGTATGTCCACTGCAGCTGAAGGATAGGGTTGGCAATACTCTACATTTTTGCTACTGTCAACAAATTCCACAAAAAGAGCAAACCCAGCAATGTAAGAAAAAAATCTAACTTTCTAAAAGGGTTCACAGAGATTCCTAGAACGTGGTCATTGTAGGTGTTAGCAAATGCTGCTCAAACAAAAGTAAACGCTGATTGTTGAGGACTATTTTCAAGCTGTAGTTGTGGTTCTCTACTGGACATTTCTGACAGCAGAGTACTGTATATTAAACAGATTCATATTAAACTCCAGGTCCCGCATTCACCACAGTGAAGAAGTAACTCTGAAGTGCAAATGTGTGACTTATACTGTGTTTTTAACGTTACCATTTCTGGAGAACAGTGGAGCTCTATGGAACAGAAAAACAGGCTTCACTGACCTTTGGGTAACCAGACAATACTTGTTAACAGAATCACTGTTGGTTTTGGTTTCTTCATCTGTTAATAAAAATTATACTGAGTATATCACCAGATTTATCCTTTAAACTGCAGTTATGGAAAATCTTTCCAACTATACTGACCAACCCAACCGACCTATTTTGGCCCAATATGAGTATCATGTATTTCGGATAATATCTAGTTTTCATAGTTTCCATCATTCCGCTGGCAAAGATTTTGGTCTGGACTTAATGTCACCATCCCCTACCCCAGGCCACTGCTCCCCCCAACCAAACTCCCTCTCAGTGACTGATAGGTATCTATCGCTGTCAATCATCTACACCCCCTCCCCTCAGCCCAACCCCTTGCGGTTGTGCTCAGGGCGCTTTAGCCCTGTGCTTGGTGCTACACTATCAGATGCCACGACAAACGACTTCACCTTGGCCTCATTATACACACACATATATAACAACACAGTGACAAAACAGAGGAGCAAGCAGTCCAAACACAGGCACACTCGACATGAAAACTCCTCAAAGAACAGAAGGTGTCTGAATACACCCACAGCCACCCACTGAGGTGCATACATACCCATCTCCATTGATGAGATGATGTGAAAGGCTGTAAATGTTCTAAATATTCACTGCTTTCTCTTTTTTCCTCCCCACCCCCAATATTGATTGTCCTTATCTGTCATAATTCAGCACAGTCTGAGCTCACTGCAATCACCCGTCACAGATAGGCAACATAAGGAGGAGGGGGGGCATGTTTATCAACTAGCCATGAAAAGCAGAGATAGTTTCTATACATTTCCATTACTGCTGTCTATTCAATAAATTCTATACATTCTAATACCTACTTATAAAGCAACTCCAAACAACACTGTGGATGACAAGCATTTAATATCTTTCTTTATTCTTTTTTCTCTCATTTTCTGTCTCATGTCCTTTTGTCCTTGCTTGTTCTTTGGGGTCCTGAAGCTGCTATGCTGCTGGCCAATAAATAGTGCACCAAGAAGAAATAGGCAAAATTGTACAAATTAAATGACCATACTGTTCTATTGTTGAAATGCTATAAAGCTGTGAGGCTGCATGTTTGTATTAAATGTGCATAAATGATTTTCACTTTTTTCAGGCAGTTTTTTTTTTTTTTTTTTTTGCGGTTTATTTACCAGCTGTGCTTGATAAAGCAACCAAGATAAACACAGGCTTGTTACACAAATTTTGTAATGCATTTAACCTATTGCATAAAAGTATTGCAAGACAATTTGACACTGAAAAAATTAAGACCTTGATTTGAGACCTTAAATTTAGAAAACATTTAAGGACATTTTCAAACTCTGGTCATACACAACTCAACTTGTCCAGATTTAACAAGAACCAGACAGAGATTTACTAGCCAACACCTTGCTTGGGCCATGGTGTTTATATATGTACAATATATGCCCAGAATGTTGAGGGCGACATGAGCAGTGGCAGGAAGTCACAGGTTACATGTACTTGTGCCTCCTCTGTGCGCTGCAAAAGAACAGCTTGATTGGCCAAACGTACATCAGCACCAGATTTCTATGGAGAAGCTGGTCACAGCACGCTGAGTACAGTGCTGTGGCTATTCACCAGCTATCGCCTTCTACAGCATATTCCCATATTACTTATATCTAACCAATTTCTTCAGGGCTACTTGAGTACGTGGAGGGGGTGAGGGGCAGTTAGCAGATATGGGATTGGGTCCCTTCCTCTCCCTACACTGTGGTTATTGTCAACAGGGTAGCATTCATGCCTAACAGGGCCACCAGAGGTTATCGCTCAGCCAGAGTGTGTATGAGAAGACGAAATCAAGCTGCAGCAACCCGACGCATATCATTCTGTGTAGCCCTCGGGGCCAGAGAGGGGACAGGTATATAAATGTATGTGTGTGTGTGTGTGTATGTGTGTGTGTGTTGTAACAGAGCAAAAGAGAAAAACCAACAGTGCACATCTGTGTGTTCCATAAGTGTGTAAAGAAAAAAGTGAATGTGCGTGCAAAGAGCCAGTGTGACAGAGGGAACATAGTGATGTGTGCGAGTGTGCACTTCAAGCTGAATGTGCCGCTTTGATGACACAGAGCAAAGAGGAAAATAGGTGTGTGTCTATGTGTTTTATGAAGGGATTGGGTTATTCAGTCGAGGCTCGAGTGTGAGCAGAGAAGAGGAAACCAAAGAGTCAGTGCTAAGCATGCCAACTTGACACAGGTAATCTATGTCAATAAACAAGTGCATGTCCTCTCCTCCACAGTCTTTTAAACACATGTACAAACAAAAGGGTCAACTTAACACAATACAATTATTCTTTTATTATACCCACACCAACATCAACACATGTAACAGTTGTGGGTTAGTCATCTCCCAGCAGGCTGTGGAGTTAAGATCCCATCTGACCTCTGCCAGGTGACTCAGTCACACTCTGGACACACACATCTCAGCAAGGGGGAAGGACTTAGGAAAGCTGTCATTATAACACTCAGGTTGTAGTGCATATGTGATTGTGAGTAAACGAATTTGCCTGCCTTCATGAGTGTTACCACCCTCCTGCCTCAAACCATGTATACGTACATACACACTATATTCAGGGATTAATGGCAGATCTCTAAATAAGGCCAAATGGCGATGTGGATGGGAGGGAGCTAAGTGCTATGAAGGGCCCAGCAGTGGCTGCCTCTTACCTTTTTGTTGTTTTCTTTAATATCCTGAGGACCGAGCGACTTATAGTCTCTGGAAGAACAGCGGGGAAGGTCGGAGCGGAGGCAGACAGAGAAAAGGAGAGGGAAAATGGGAGACAGAGAGAGATAGCGGAGAAAGAGGTGTGTTTAAATATGCGTCACATGTAATGGCATTAGAACTGTAACATGCAATTTCATAGCAGTACAATCAACTGAACTAATAGAGTGGAAAATATGTAAAAATAACAGGCCAGAGCACAAAGACGCACAAGCATAAACACACACACACACACACACACACACACACACACACACAGAAGGCATGGTTTTGATCAATTATCTTCATGTCTGGTCTCTTGATGAGGATTCAGGTTTTTGTATGTTGTACTTTTGAGTCTTACATACACACATGTAATACTAAATATTAACTGAATCTCATACAGACTGGACACCAATTTAGAATCTCACACACACACACAGGAACAGTAAGAAAAGTGTTTGAGGCAAACATGCAACTCTGCACTAAAATATGAAAATGCCATAAGTAGGCAAGCACCTGTCAAACACAGACAGGAATGTTGGACACAAGGACTTCTGAGATCTAAAAGTTTTACATCTTCATTATTTTGGTTTCCACCTAAATTTGACTTGGTCTTATTTCTAAGCCCTGATGCTGTGTGAGAAACATTCTCTGAGAGTGAGTGTGTGCTTCCTACATGATGTCAGGTCTGAAGTGGTGCAGCAGGGCGCAGAAGGCCAGGCCGTTCCTCCAGGAGGTGGTGAAGTTTGTGATCTTCACTCCACGGTAGTTCTTGGTGACCTCGCGGCACCAGGCCAGCAGGGACTGGCTGGCATTGGGTTTCCCTCCCAGAACTGGACTTGGGAAGGGGCTGGGCTGCAGACAGAGAGAGGATGGATGAATCGGGCAGGTTTAAATGGAGACAACCAGACATGGGAAAGTATGAAGAGGGGAAAAGGAAAGAGAAAGAATTGTTTTATTTGATTATCATCTTATCCATTTTAAGCACATTCATGCAACATGTTGCTATCTGTTTAATATATGATGTTTGGTGATTAAAGATTATGAGGAATGAAAAACATTAATAATGAAATACTAAAAATGAATAATGCACTTTGGATAGGCACTCCATTTTCTAAGACAATAAAACATATATAATGAGTAACTGTAATGCAACTTTCCGTTGACACCAGAAAAACCTCACATGTCCTACACAGCCTCTGGACAAAATATTTCAATTTACATTTAGGATTTCAAATGTTTTACTTCTATAATTGCCTACATTGCCCTCCAAGTCTGAGCTCCTTTCATTATTTCTCTAAAAATATTTTACTTAGCAACCTCCTCCATTTCCGTTACCATGCCATACTGACATACAATGAGCCCGAGCGTGCACACACACAGACACACACCATAATGAAGGGCCACTCACAAAGCAGTGTATGACCGTGGATAATGTAAACATCTTATAAGTAGCTCCGCCTTTGAAGTCTTATCTGGGTTGAAAGCTTTCACCATTAGGAGCCTTTCCTCTCCCCGACTTCAAATATCCCACAAATCCTTGGTGGCGTGGAGACACTGGTCTTCCTCTGACAGCCAGCAGAACCAGTGCCATTCTGATTATTCAGCTGACTGTTAACTAATCTGGTTATGGAGTAACTGATATGAGCTAAATCTCAGATAATTCTCTTAAACTCAGAGGTCAGTTATCAAAAGGACTGAAAAATGTTCAAATATATTACTACTGAATGCAAAACAAAAACTAATAAGAGATGATTTTCTTAATTACA